ACTACTTTTTCTAAGATTTAGGAAGTAAATGGAAGATTAGAAATAGGTCTGTAATTAGCCAGATCAGTGGAATCCAGGTCTGGTTTCTTAAGGACATGCACGACAACAGCAACCTTGAGTGAATTTGGGAGATGCCTCAATCTTAAAGACGAGCTTATTAGTGGTGCAATCCTTTTAAACAGCATTGCAGGTAGATACATTTATATTTATTCATATAGCAGACGCTTCTGTATTGAAATAAATGCTACATGTACAGTAGTGCAAAAACAAACTTCCACAGTTCAGAAACATACAAAATATACAAAAAAATGCATGAAAGCAGATCATTGTGTCAAATGTTCTGGATGGTTTGTTTGTGAGCGTAATGGTATGTAGGAAACCATTGTCTTGAAATCCGGATGCTCTTATCTTCAGTGGCCTGACGCACCTACCAGAGGGACAAAGTGACAGTCAAGGTATGAGTGGTCGTCAGTGACAAGCAGATCATGGATGCTGGGCAGACTGAGGCCCATAATCCCTTCTGCAGATGTGATGATGCGCTAGAGCTGGCATGTATCCTGCTTAGTGGCACCAGACGGTTATGCAAGTGCTTAGTACAGACCGAACCATTGCATCCTGGGCTAAGTTAAACTGGTATTTAGCATAACCAGTTTTAATTGTATTTGGATGGCAGGTATTCACTGGGAAAGAGATTATTTTGTTACTTACTGCAGAAAGAAGGTGCCCTTATTGGAAGTCTCCATCTATGGAAAAATACTCAAACCACATCACACACTGTGGTGGCATGTGGATCTGCCCCACACCATTCACAAATAGTCCAAGGAGATGTTTTTGGTTTTTCCAGAGGAAATTGTTCATTCAGACGATTTGTGATCCAGGTTTTTTTTTTTAAACTGAGCTTCATTTCTGGAAAGGAGAAAAAGGTCTCTTCTTTCGCCCTTCTCTGTTTCCATTAGGCATCTATGCAAACATCTCCCAATGTGCATGTGATTACCAAGAAGTTAATAGCTAGCATGTGATCATGTAGCTGGACACCTTATGTAACTGCTTTGGGTCAGACAGACACTACAACAGGCAGGAACGCCAACGTAAACGCCTTGTGTATATTTTTTAAGGGGTAAAAAGTCAAGACAGAAAACCAAGCAGACTGCATTAATATGATATAATTTTTTCTTTTTAAAAAGCAATTTATATGTAGGTATATATGAACTGCAATAAGCTATAAAAATCACAGAAGTGAAAATACAGCAGGCTTTGATTTTATTAATACAGTCAAAATGCATTTAAAAGAAACATACTGTACCACCTGGTTTCAAATGTTTTAATTTATTATTTATATATATATTCTCTTTTAATGTACAGTTTTATCATCCAGCATTCATAATAATTCAAATACCAATTAACATTTATTTCAAGAAAAAGTTACTATAAAAAGAATGACTCCTTAACATTTCTAACTTAATCACAATGGAAAATGTATTTTTACAGCAAGTAGTTATGCGGTCAAACACGGTGCACTGAGAAAGACTGCATAATACAGAATAACTGTCTGTGTCTTAACACTCTAAGCTGGTAACAATACGAACACAACTTAGTGTTTCTTTAATATAAATTCCGTAATTCCTCTAGTGCATAATAGGTGCATATCTAGGGTATGCTGCATGAAAAGAGGACGACCTGCATTATAAGCACCATATGACGTCTCTTACGAACCCTCAGTCGGCAGTTTATTAGGTACACCGGGTCATTAGTACAGACTGTGAACCATCTAGCTGCAGTGGAATACATGCAGCAAAGGGACAGTATCAAAGTGTTCATTTAATATCTGGCTCAGCATCAGAGCAGCCAGTGTGTGTGGTCTAAGTGATTTTGAAAGTGGTGTGATAGTTGGAACCAGAGGTGGTGCTTCCAGACTCTCAGAAACAGCCCCTTTCTGGGGATTTTAACACACTACAGGGCCTGGGGTTTACAGAAGAAAAGGTGTGACAAACAAAAAAGAATCCAGTCAGTGGCTGTTCTGTGCAAGACAAAAAGCTGTTTGGCCTTCAGTGGACTTGTTAAAGTTAATGGGAAAGCCACAAATGCAGAAAGAACAACTCAGTACAACAGTGTCGCGCAGAAAGACTTACTGAATGCTGGTCTATCCCTGAAGTGGTTCTGGAGACTAAGGGGTACTATTTCGGGGTACCTAATAAAATGACCACAGAGTGTACATACATGCATAGAAGCTCCATGATTTGGAAATAATAATAGTCAACAAAATAATTCTTTAGTGAACTTTTAGCATCTAAAAAGGAGCCATGGAGCACCCACAAAACCAAATTTAAGTGGCCGTTAGTAAGCACAAAGATATTAGTGAATTAGCAAGCGCTTTTGCTGCAAAGTCCACTGCAGTAAACACATACTATCCACCGTTTCTCATATCTCATTTCTGAGCATCAGTAAATAATGCATGTGTTATTTTTTTAAATTATAAATAAACAGTAAATAACAGATGATTTAAAAATAAAAAAAAATTCATATGGGGGTTTCTGAACATTGCAACTTCTCAAGAGGCACTTTAACAATGAATAAATAAGCAAGCTAGATATAACAAGTACAATAATTTTATATGAATGCAGCGGTGGCCAAGCACAAACCTCAATAGGGCTCTAAAGGTGGGGCTTTTGAGGTAGCTGGTTCACGAGCAAATGATTCTTTATATTTCACTGTTTTGACTGTTCCTCTTTAAGGAAACATATCATCACATATACATTTACATGGTTTTCAGCTGTAATATGCCAGTATGCTAAGGATGCCACACCTTCAACATTTCCAGACTCCTGTTTTCAGGACATTTCGAAGCTAAAGTTTAACTGCAAATTGTCTAAATCTGTCTCAAGTACTGAAGTATACAATTCCGATTTTGCAATTTACAGGGGAAAGACCAGTTTTATAGGCTTACGAAGAATGTATGCCAAACCAAGAAGAGAAAGACAACATCAAAGGATGTAGTGGTTACCAAACACAGAATCACCCATCCATCGTATTAGGGACAGTCAATGTAAGCACACAACAGAACATTCCGGAAAGTGGTAATCAGCATATAAGCAGACGAATGACATGCTGCCTTGTTAACATCTTAGAGTACAATAAAATATGAGACACTAACCTGGGAACAACAACACTGTTCAGTCACCGCAGAATGAAACAGTAGAATTAACATATCAACTTTAGAATTCAATGTCAATATAGCATTTGTCTCTAAAATGTGTCATTTTCTGCACTAAATAAAATGTGGTGAATTCAGCAAAAATCACAGCTGCTGAAAAACTAGAGAAGTCAGTCATTGTTCACATAGCATTTATCGGTTATTTAAAACGTCATATTTTTAACTTCAGCAGTCAATATCAAATCCTTTTTGAATAGACAGGTTTGACAGCAGATATGCATGTCAATATTAATGTTGCCCCTGATTATACATAAATTCTGGGAGCAAAAACTGGAACAATCTAAAAACTGCCTCTTTTGCTGATCTGAAACTCAACACTGAACAAGAAATACAAGCACAATCAATAAGCTTAACATTAAAAAACAACCTCTTCATACCAACAAACCAGGAAACACTTGGAAATAAAAGATTTGATATCTGCTCTTTCAACCTATAGAATTTCCCAAATCATACTGTCAAAGGATTCGTTGTAGTGTTCCTGGTGCACGTACAGAAACTTAAGAAAGAAAATGAATAGAAGCAGAAGCAAATTGCACAATGATGGATTTTCTTTCTCAAACTGCACAAAGTATCAGTTGTGGAATGTAAGGCAGAAGCTCTGACCCTAACAGGTAAATTTAACAGCTTCCCTTCATTCATATTTAGTCATAAGTCAGGGAGGAAAGATGATGCCAACAGCCAGTACATGTCAGAGATAAATATTTCATCTGAATGATCACAGTACAAGCAGTTAAAGTGCTTTTTTTACACAATGCACACCATTAATTTTGTATGGATGTTGATGAAAACACATTGAAAGCTACAGGTGCCACAAAGCATTAAAATCTTACTCAATGATATGACAGAGAGACATGCAGCTGGAATGTACACTAATATGAAACTAAAAAAGCGACCCAAGTAATGTCTGGTATAAACTGCCTCAAGCTCCCCATTGCAGACTCCAGTTGTGTAATCATGCATTTTCAAATAAAACAAACGTTTCATAGTTCTGCAAACGCAGGTTTGCTTCTGTGAAGTGAAAGATATTTTCTAATGTACTTCTTATACAGACAAAAAAAAGTTAACTTTGCAGACAAGCAAATAAACTACCCGTGAAAAATACCACTTATTGAAAGAAACATATATGGAAACTGCAGTGTTCACTTTTTGTGCCAATGACAGATGACAGTATTTCACCACAAAAATCACGTGAAATAAACTGCAAATGCAATACAATCGATGTCAGGGATTACATTAAAAAGTGGAAATAAAACATCATTATAGGAAAGCAGGCCTCGACAACATACACTCAGCTGCTTATGCACAAGACATCTCAAATTAGAAATGAACTAGGATTTCGGAAACATCTGAAATTCCCATCAACAGGGAAAGACATTTCCCACAAAAACATCAGAGGAATTAGCATCAGTAAGCACATTGAGGTTTTCATTCAATGTGCCAATGTTAATACGAACTAAAGTACCCATGCAGGAACTGCCCTTCAGTTCCCTGGTCCACATATCTCAAGTCTGTTTAGTAACTTATCAGATGAGGTAATGAATCATTGAAAACATGTTTCCTTAGGTACAAATTCTTATGCTGGCTTGTTCTTTTTGTTCAACAATTATATTCTATAAACAACCATTTAAATGCAAGAATGCTTCCGAATGCCTTAAAATAAAAAACAGAATGAATAAAGGGCAGATATGTTACCTACAGTGCAGTATGTGTATGAATGCTACATTAAACATTTAATTCTTGGTAAAAATGTACATAATGAAGCCCATTCTAGGATAACTAATAAAGAACATTTAAATACAATATACTTTTATTTTAAAATTTTGTGCAAATTCAGCACCACTCCACACACGCATACAAATTCTGTTTTTCCATAACTGACCTCATTTCAATTATGAAATAGATGCAAAAGCAGAATTCAGTTCGCAATCACCACAATGCACTGGTATGTGGACAAACCAAAATTAATTTTCCATACCATAAGTATTGCAGTATTCCTGGTAAAATACTTTGAAGAAACAGGCAAATTATGGTTTTAATTCTGAGTCTAGACCAAAAAGGACCTTTACGATTTAAAACATTCTTTCTTGAAACCCATATTTTAAAATCAAAACTTCTATTAAATTCCAATATTCCTGAAATAGGAAACTTGAATTTCTGCTTATCCGAAAACACCTTCTTTTAGACATCATCATCATACTCCTCCTCGTCCTCCGCCAATCACAAACAAGACATCATCCCGTGTGAAGTGTTAAAACATTCAATTCTCGTTTTAGACCACAGTGAAATTTCCAAAGATTCCTCGGTTCAGAGTACGTTTGGTTGGCTATAGGACAGTGCTAAGGCTAGCAACCTAGCAGTTATACAGAGATATTGCGACCGTGAGAGTTCAACCCTCTCGGGTGTCAGGATAACATTCAAACCCATATGCTGCTAGCTCTGAAAGTGTGCGACTGAAAGTGCTTCTCTGAAATCAGTGGTAGCATGGATGTGAAGGGTCCAGGTTTGGTCTGCGGCCAGGCTAGGAGCTAGCGATTTGGAATTGGGCTGGGGAATCACCAAAGACCTGAGGTGACGGACTTGGTTGGTGGCTGGGTCGTCATGCCGGTGTGGAGTTCTTTTGGCTGGACAAGGTGGTGGGTCTGGCAGGGGGGGCTCGAGGCTTGTGCTGGGGGCTGCTGCGAAGATTGTCATCCATCTGCAGATGGGATGGTGGGGGATTATACTGGAACAGCACACTGGCTGACAAACAATAAGCAATCACACTTCTGGACACAACATGGGGTAATTGTTTAGAACGTGACCCAACTGATAGTTAAGGGCAACCATCTCTGGGCTGTACAGACCAGGCTGTGCCTCATTACATTTAAATGATGTATCATAGGCAACCATTTCTACACATGATAAGATACTGGGGCCACAGTTAGCATGGTGACAGTGGTCAAACATATTTAATCTACAGGGAACAGTAGATGTTCTTCATAATACTTTAGTACTAATGCTGTATTCTGATAGAGACTTTCAACCTTCAGTTCCTGGTATTTCACAGAATAATAGATGGTTTATGGTTGAAAAATAATTGCAAAGATGCATGGTTAAAAATAAACTGCATCTGACGTTCTCTTGATAAAATAACTGCATACCGAGTCAGAAATCACTGACAGCACATCTCCTAAGCCCTGACACCAAACAGGGCTTGCACAAGGCAGGTCAGAAAGATGAAAGCGTGCATTTAGGTGAAGAGAATACACTGTGAAAATAGACATGCAGAGGAAAGTGATATGGGAGCAAAAACATAAAGGCAGTACCTTCTCGATGAGGTTGGACTCTTTGTTAACAAGCTGTGTCAGTTTCTGCAGGTTCGCGTCAACTGATGCGTCCTGGCTGACGGGTGGAGAACCTGGAGAAGGTGCAGATGGATGGAAAGGGACAGGAAGACGCCAAATCCCCACAAGAAGAAGAAGAACAGATCACTGCTTCATCAGAATATCAAGGCATGCATTTGAGTGTTAGTAAAATGACACATGCAATCACCTTGTGACTGACCAAACCAATGTGCATTTTCTCAAAAATATCAGCTGATTCTGTGACTCTTTGGATTTTCAAACATCTGTCAATAACCAGAGCACCTCATCAGATTTAATTCTAAGTGTAAAGGCACTTTTCCACCGCACCAAGTACCGCACTTTTGGTACTTCCCCTTTTCCATTGACTTCCCATCAAGTACCAGTACCAAAAATTCCAGTACCAGAAGTGCCAAACCAACTGGGGTACTTCTTTGGTACATCGGAACTTTAGGGTGAAATGCTTTCTTTGTGAATTGGCTATGCAAATACCCTGCCACTAAAAACAAAACATCTGCCGTCTTGAAAAAAAGTTATGAACTTAAAAAAACAGGGATAAACAAACCTAGGAGTGATTTAAACAGCAAGGATGAAAATGATTACTATTGTCTAAGAGAACGCATGCAGTGCTAATGCAAAAGCAGCAGAGACAAACTCTAAACTGATTTTTAAACATATTACATAATCTATAAAAGGAATAAAAATTGCAAAAAAGGTAGCCAAGTTTTTTTATGACAGAGTAAAAATGTTTCAGCGAAACTAAAACTCCCTGTTATAATGTCCGTAAAGAATTGCAAGGAAGAAGAAGCCTGATCTTTTAATCTAGCTGACGAGCGATGTAAGAATTGCATGGGCACAACATGCGATGTTGCTATTAATATCACCTATCATCCAGCCCTATAATACACTACAGCCATTTTTAGAATTTACTACAAAATAACCCGCCTTGCGTTGTGATGTCATTCAGCCAGTACCAGTTTTTATGCGGGTGGAAAACCAACACCTTGAAGTACTGTACTTTTGGCACTTTCTCAAAGTACTAAAAGTATGGTACCTGGTGTAGTGGAAAAGTGCCCTAAGACCCACACCTACCTGGGGGATTACTGCAGTAAAATCAGCAGTGCACCACGTGTAGCTGGTGTAAACCAAGCGATTGTGCTGCCATCCGTACAGTGCATATCACCTTATAATACCCACAATATATCATGGTGATAAACTTCTGTTACAAGTTTATGTGTATATGTATTATTTATCAGTTTTATTACAGTACAGTATACAGTAGGACAGTACTGTTTTAGTGTATAGAATCTTGACCATTTAGGCAGTACGGGTACAGTATAGATGCAGAGTACCGTTTAAGTTTGTACACAGCATATATGATATTTGCATTGCATCTAAGTCCTATTGGACAGAATGTAATTTAGACAATAAGGTTTATATACACCCCCCAGTGGTATCAGTGCCAAATATTACATAAGCTCCAATCCAAGAAATCTCATTGTTTAAAGCAATGGATTTGTTTGCAACACAAACTACATATACACTTCTTGTAAATGCTTGAGTGAAGCTTGCTGTCACAACCTCCACAAGATTCCTCCAACCACACCAACAAAGAATCCCAATGAAAATTTCAATTCTTCCTTTACTTTAACATTATTTCATTAAGGCTTACAAGCCACGCCTACACGCAAACACACGCAGCCCTACCGGGGGCGTCGTCATCAAAGTAGGTCTTGAGGACTGCGTCACAGAATTGGCACAGGTTGGTGAGCTGGTTCAAATGCTGCTTGAGGGGACCACTTGGCAGGCTGGCCTTCAGCAGGGGAGCGATGTACCCAAATACAAAGGCATCCAGGCTTCCTGGCCTGAGATGGCACAGTACAGAGGCAGTATTACAAGATCTCCAAGGATGGCCCTATATTTATTTGTTTAGGAACTTCTAGAAACAGGATAAAATAGCAGGTGTTGCCCTCAGAGTAAATGGAAAATTCCAGTGTATCTAAACTCGCTGTTGAATAAAAGATAATTGAGTCTCACAAGATGTACATTGCCTACAAGATGTACTGTAGGTGAGAGGCCAAAAAAAATATGCTTGAACAAACTAAAAAAAACGATCATAACAATGACTGACTTGCTGCACTCATTTGTCATCAAATTAAATTAAATACAAAAAAATACTGAGCAGCAAAGCTGCCATGATGAAGATCTAGTGAAAACGTTCACTAGGGATCCTCGTTACATTATAACATTTTCAATAAATGCAATACTTTACATTAGGCTGATGACATATTTCTGCAATCACTATCATACTCACATCTTTCCAAAGAAGTATGGGGATGTTCCCAGCCGGTGTGACAGCAAGTTCAGGCACTCTTTGGCTTCATTGTAGACCTGGAAAAGTGTCTGGATTGGGGTTAAGACACTCAGGCGGCAACCTGTTAAATTAGAAGATTAAATAAATGGCATCTATATAATTAGCCACTGTGAGTATGTGGAACGAAAACACACCTAAGAGACCATGCGATGTCATAATTCATTTTAGAAAAGTTTTAGCCCTTTTCCCCCAGTAATCATTTCTTCCTCAAGAATGATCATTTCATACCGGTGACAAAGAACATTATAAAAAATTATAATAAACTAAGAAAAGAGAAGTACAATGCAAGAAAATGACTATTATGAAAGCAGGTGGAAGAGATATGCATGTACTATCAAAATTAATAACTGACCAAGATGGACATAAATGTTTTCTTTGACTGCCTAAGACTTTTGCACAGTTCTATATTGTCTAATTATTTGCTGTTATATCTCTTCCACAATGCATGACAATATAGAACTGTGCAAAAGTCTTAGGCAGTCAAAGAAAACATTTATGTCCATCTTGGTCAGTTATTAATTTTGATAGTACATGCATATTTGCTCAGGAAAAAAACCCACAATTTAACATTATAACATATGCAAATGAAGAGTATCACAATAAAAAAGTAAATGAGATTTTTTTCCGTTCTCCAAAAAGAACTGATATCTTTCTGGACGACTAGATAAACTGTGCTTTGGCTCACAAACCTCTCCTTAGGGGCACCCCGCCCATTCCATACATTTGTTAAATTTCTCCACCAGCTCAATTAACTTGATTTGTTAAATAACTCAATGGAATACTGACTGGCCAAACGAGATGGGGTAGTGGTCAAGTCAAAAAATACAAGGGCATACTGGGTGGTTGCTGAAAATACCGTGGTAATTTTTGTTGTGGTTTTGAAATGGCTAAGCTGACAAACTTTGACAGACACATCACAGTCATGAAGATCTTTTTTTCTGAGTGCTTAAGACTTTTACGCAGAACTGTATGTTTTAGAACACAATTGATTTTACCGAGAAGTTAAAATATGACTGCTCATAAATCTAAATCAAATGGAGCCCTTTACAGATAGCTGAATTACAAAATTAAATGGCACCAATAAAAATCAAATAACAATAAGAAATATTGAAGCAGGGATTCATGTGCATTCATATAATTATAGAAATCAATAAAAATATACAACTGTGCACACACACATCTAGGGTTGGACGATATGGCAAAATATTTTAGCACGATAATTTTTTTCATATCGCTTCAGTCAAACTGTGCTTTGCCAATACATGGTCAAATTATTTGGACTTAAAATGTGTGGTGCACACAGACATAAAATTATGGTATCAAATCGCACATAGGAAAAGGGTTCAAGATTTATTTAAAAAATATTATGAAATATATTTTTAAATATTTTGTCGTATATTTGAAGTACAGGATGTACTAAAATACAGTGAAAATCTTACTTGCGTGTACAAAGATGCAGCAATGAAGATGTAAATAAATATGATTTACCCAGAGCAAAATCAATAGACAAACAAATAAATAAAAATGTCAGCAGTATAAAAAGTAGCAGCCATAGAGTATACGGACAGGTATAATATGAATAACGTCAACAGTATAAACAAAGTTCCGTGACAGATCAAGCAGCAGCAAATGATTTCCATTAAATCTTTAAGACTTGTGTGATCTGGTGCGCATTTTACTGAAGGAATTTTATGTGATCAAACCTAATCTCTGCACTGATACCTATTTTTAAATACTTGCTATTTAATGGTTAGGAATTTATGCACATATTGAATGCAGTTCTGCTGATCTTTGGAATGCTTCAATGAAACAAGAGAAATGCAACATATGCATCAAAAACGTACTGTAGTGCCTAAAATGTGACATAATGAAGCAGACATGTAAAGAAATCTCATAAGACTATTCTGAAAAACGTAAACTATTTATGTGCCATTGTTCCACTATCAGATCGTCTATGTTTTGCAACTATATTTAAATGACCTGCAGTTAATACTGCAAGCAAATACTTTAAAAACAACATATGCTTAAAAGCTTTTGACAAATGCACTACGTTTGGCAGTCTGCTTGTCAGAATTTTCACATAACGCCTAAAAGTGTCATGCACCACATAAAACACAACATCCTAAACAGTTGCCAGTCAAAATGTGGTAAAGTATTACTGTACTTCTTCAAGTAAATCCCCATTGAAATCGCAATCTGTTTTGTACGCTTTTTGACACAAGCCAAATTCAGCAATCCATTTCAGAATTTTTCAAGGTGTAAGTCAAAGTTCTACATTATTGCCAGTTAAATCCGGCAAACTTTTACAGTATCATTCTCAGGTAAGGAAACTTTAAAATCACCATCTCTTTAAATGGCTTACTGAGCTAATTGCCACGAGTCAAGGTAGACGGGCCATTTCTCAGAATTTTCCCTTAATGCATGAACAACCTTCATCCATCCATGTTTTATGAATTCGTTCCCTTGTTTTAGTTAAATTGTGGGCACATTTTACTAATTCCTTCCTACGATACATTAAAACGTAGCCCACTTATTGCCTAATGCATGACCTTCATTTAAGCCACTTGACAACTGCAAATACTGGTATGGACAGAAACAATTCAATTGGGTTTCATTTTAAGGGATCATCTCAAATTGAAAAATAAAATGCTGTGTCCCATTTTCAACCAATGCGGGACACGATTTGTTCCATATTCACGATTTGACCCCTCCCACGGCATATTTTATTATGAGGGAAGTCCCATATTTCTTCATATTGGAAGTGACAACCCAGTGTTGGAATGACCTACCAACACCGCCTTAAAAGCCTTGCATTGCGAGGAATTGTTATGCACTTATGTATAATATTGAGAGCCAGCAAGCGTTACATTCACTTTTTTTTAGTTAATTCGTGGTCATGTTTTCCAATTCGTTCCCATGATATATACTTTTTATCGTTATGTTATAAGCGGTGCTCGGTATGTTTAAACCGTAAGAGGAACTGAATAAAAGCACTTACTAAGCGTTATTCGGTATGTTCCAGAGAATGTTTCACGTATTTCTGAGCAGCAGTTTTCACGTTCATGGTCACACTACATTTCACATCGTATGCAACATCTTTTCTTTTTTTACGATTTATCTTAAATTTCTCTTTACTGTGATGCATTAAAATATGAATGTAATAATTGTAAGTACAGTAACATATTCTCCTCCTGGTGCTTAGTACTGGATACCTATGAATGCATTATGCATTACGGAAAATGAATCAAATGAAAATGAATCAACCTCTCCAGAAAACCCAAGCATTCCGTGGGCTGTTGGCATACTGGGGTTGGGAGCTCCTGGTCTAGATTCATACTGGTCCTACTTCAACATTATACTGTAACACCAATCACTACATACTACTTCAAAGGAGTAATCAAGCAAGCTTAGAGATTCCATTACAAGAAAAACAAATCAAAAACAACTGACCCACAGAAAGGCTGAGTGTGTATCATGCCAGCTTACTGTGCACACCCTGTATTCCTGGGCAGAATCACTCCATCTGCTCTATTAGTTTGTGCCAATTAGTCAACTGTGGGAAAGGTCGGAACACACACAGCCATCCCAGACTGATTCCCAGCCATCTAGCTTTGTGATCATCACTCTTCGCCAAGTCTTCCCTTTTATTTGCCTAATTTTTTCCATTTCACCAAAGAGACATAAACTGTACTGTCTGCACGAGGAAGCAGAAATAAAGCAGCTGTAAAAATGGTGTAAAGAAGTCTAACAGTCTTTGTTAAAAGAAATGTACCACAGACATTGTGTCCATTCCATGTACTCTAGAACAGGGGGCACCAAATTATACTCTGGTAGTCTGCATTGTATCCTCTTTTCCTGTAGATTTTGACAAATAAGCACTATTTCCCAAATAATTCCATTTTTGCCCATGCGACAGCTGTTAATGAATAAACAACTCTTTTAAAAACCTTTTAAAATACTGAAAATAATGTCTAGTTCCAAAGACAACCAACTGAGAATGTTTAAAATAACCACTACACTGTCACAATAACACAAATAATTTAATAACTATAAAACATTCAGGACTGCATAATAAATGATGACAAAAGGTCAAAAACAGCAAAATGTAAATATAGTGCTGAAGAAGACAAAGCGATGGTAACCTTTGCCTCCACCTCGGTGATGCTGTGCAGTGGCGATTCCCCTTTGGTCAGCAGGATGAGGGAAAGAGCCACACGGGCCTGCCGACCCGGGATGAAGAAGTTGAGCGGGAAAGGACATCGGGAGGCAAACCAGGGCCGGGTCAGGTTGGTGTAGTTCTCTGTGTCCACCCAGAAGGTGTGCAGCTACAATGCGACAGCCAAGCGCAGCTTAGAACAGCAATCCCTATGCCTATCATCTTCCCCAGAATGTACACAGTCCATCCTTTTGTGTTTTTCTACCGTGTTTTGGGATTTGTCTATTTTGTCACACTGTGTGTGGATCTCTGAAATCAATACCTGCCCATCTGCCCTCCTTCAGAAACCACGTGATCAATTACTTATTGTTCTCCCCTTCACAACAGTACTTTACATGAACTAGCAAAATACAAACTTTAAGTTACTATGGTTAACTAAACAAAAGAAAGGCATGTGTAAACTTGTCTCTGAATATGGCCTAAAACAGAAACATGATTAATATTCAAAAACATATACTTTTAATGGTTACACCCAAATATAACTGACACTGCCATATATAGAAATAATTAAAAATGCCCAGTATCTTCCATAACATGTATCATATTTAAATGTATATTTTACAAACTGCCCCATTTCACTTTCTGTATACCACACACACACACACACACACACACACACACATATATATATATATATATATACACACACACACACACACATATATAGAATTATTATTTAGGCATAAAGGCACACAGATAGCCTTCTGATTAACAACACACATACCAGTGCTGGTCGCAGCTTCTCCTCCAGCAGTGCGATGTATGCCAAGGTATCTGCTCCTTGTTTGGCCGAGAGCTCATAGTCAGCATTGTACCTCTATTCCAAACAGAGTGTTCCTTTTTAGTCACCGTGCCATTAAAACAGATCAAGCAGACACTTCCTGAGAACATGAACTATCTGTATAGTTTACAGAACAGAAAATTCCACATCCTAAAATTTGACAAACATAATTCATTTTCTAATTCAAACTGCATTCTAGTTTAAATGTAAATAAATGACGTCATATTATGATACATATTTACCATGCCTGTAAACAGATACCTTTCCCACTAATCTGGCCTTGTGAGGAATAAGACTGTGTTTAAAAATGCTATAACCAGTTCTAAACAAGGATGCCATCATCCTCCTATTTACAGTACAGGACTTGAAACGACTGTACACAAGTTCTCTCAGTGCTTGTCATGTTGACTTCATGCTGGAAGGCAACAGGAAACATTTTCACATGAATGCAAGCCACCTGCTTTCTCAAGAAGTTAAGGATCTGGGCTGGCTCTGTCACTGTGTGTCCTTCACAATGCAATGCTGGCACGGTCCCTGTGGAAATTTGGAGATAATAAGTTCTCAAACAATAGCACTGAGCCCATCCATACTCCAACCATTTACGTTGCTCAGGGCTGCAGAGCCAACCAATAGCAGTTCTTCAGATTAACAGCTAAGCTACCTGTCAGTGTTTTCCAGGTCCAGTCAACAGGCTGAATGGTGAGTTTAGCCCCAGAAAACTTTGCATATGCCTGTAAAAAAAGAAAAAAAATTCAGGGAACTAATATCTCCCATGAAGAGCAGGGAAAGGGGACAAATTCTTGCTGGAAATACCAGAACTACTTTCCAGTAAAATTTCAAATGGAAATTTCACATGATTCTGTTCTATAATGCAAACAACAGACCAGTACATCTTTCTGAAGCCCAACAGGATGTTTCACATCTAATACTTTAGGACAAATTTCCACGATTCATTAACTTGGATTTCAGCAGGTTCTTATACCTATTCATCCAAAGGACTATTAAAAAGACAATAGCCAGCTATGTGTCCATTTTAATATGTGTCAATGGCCTGTGCAGCACACTGCCCTCCTGATATTTTCCTTTGTATTTTTTGCAGTATGTATGTGTGCGTGAATGTCATACAGTAGGTCTGTGTGCCTACAGTATGTGTATGTATACTGTGTAAAAGCTACTGGACAATTTTCTTCTGGATAAATAAAGTATCTATCTATCTATCTATCTATCTATCTATCTATCTATCTATAATTTCAAAATAATCACAACCAAATCACAGGTGAATATTTTTGTACTGCCGGCAAGAGGGTAACATGAAGGTAAAACAATGACACTTATCCTGAATAAGATGGGCTAGGAAAGCAAAATCCCCAGGGTAAGAACTAACAAAACAAAGAAATAGGATTTTCCCACAGTAAGCGTAGACCCCGAACTGCACAAACCTCAATACCATCATGTCAGACATTTATATCCAGTTATCCCTCCAAAAATGTCAGTCGGACTGAAAGCTACGCCAGACCCACACCTGCCATTAGTCACCTTTCTGATCCTTAGGCGATCTGACCTTGAAAGTCACCGCGACAGTGACGACTGACCTGCAGGCAGCCTTCGTACGGTTCCTGCCAAGCTAGACACGGTCTGTCTTAGATAATCTACCCTGAAATATCCGCTGCGCGGCAGGGGCTGGCTGTACGGACGCTCCGGCGCTCACAGGGCACTTAGCCGCGTTAGCAGCTTAGCTCGCCACCCCCCATCATATTCATTTCATTCGCATTTCTCGTACACAAAGTCGCAGCTGCGTGTTAATACACATCTGCCGAAGGTCTGCGTTATTTAGCGGAAATGCCAGTTACCAGCACGACGAGCGACTCGGTGTGCACAGACGGGAGCCCCCAGCCTTCTCCCCAGCAGCTCAGTTCCATGGCGGCCGCCATGTTCCGCACCGCCAACGTGAAGCAGCGCTGCCAGTCCGGGCGGCTGCCGGCGTCCTGTCATTAACACCCATAGTGGGGTCAGGGGCGCCTGCCGGCGTGAGCGCTCATCTTCTCCGTATCATCAAGCGTCTGTTAGCCTCCCTCTCAATACTAAATCGATTTTTAAATTTTATTTTAGGGAACTAAGTGTGGCAAACTCCCAAATTGCTATCTGTGTTTTTAAATATCAGTGACATTACACACCTTTTACAGCTTTATTTTTAATATGGTTTTTATAAAATAATACAAATATAAACCAAAACGACTCGTTTATGGTATAGTAAAACCAGGGTTGCCAAATCTAGCTTGACACTCACGCTTTCAGACTGACGCAGGAAATCTTACTGCAAATCTATATTATTCCGCTATATTAACCTACAATTACCCACATTAAGAGAGTTGGTGAAGTTTGCAAACCGTACAGAATATTTATGAGGTAGTAAAACTCTTACATGTACATGTCCGTGCAGACTTATCTCGAATTGAAACTCTCATGGTAACCAGCTAACCAAAATTGGCAACCCTGGTAAAACGAACTGCACTGTACGCCAAAACGAACTGTTTTCTCGGACATTTATAACCTGCAAAGCTCATTAAATCAACTACACAGGTTTTTGCCGTGTTGTTTTGCTGTTATTTCCTCTTAGAGGGACCCATGATATGCATTAACATAGACCACTGACGTATAATTTATACACATCTCCATTTGTATTCATTAAAAATTTAACTGTTAAGTCCTCCAAATGTCTTCCCATATACCAAAGACAAGACATTTCCCAGATTCCTGGTTGATGATTTGGGTACCAAATGCCAGCCAGACATTCCATATTTCCATCCGCATCCAGTAAAAAGGTTGGAGAACCTGGAAATAGTCATTTTACAATAAAGAAATCAGTTTCCTGCATGGATAGTAGAAACCTGATGTTGCAATCAGTTCCAGCTCTAAAATGTACCTGGCAGTGAATTGATCATTTTGGCACACACTAATAAGGCATTTGGGAAGGCTTTGTTCTGGAATCTCCTGGCTGAAGAGATAAATTTAGCGATCTGCGTCAAACCATGAAGAGCTCCTTTGAATAATCTGAGGAATTGTGCTGTTATTTTGAAGGCATTGGTGCTGGAGACATTCATTCTTAATATGTGATCCTTAGATTGGAGTTACGTTTTTTTTTTTTTGTCGCACAGTTCAATGCATACCAAGGCACAAACTACTTCCAAAGCCGGTGGAGTCTAACAGTTAAGTAGTGTTACTTGTTAAGTATGGGTATATTGAGTAGAATTCATTAATTTGAGAATTTTTTTGTCTATTGTATCTTACTTTGCATGAGACGTATGGGTGAGAACAAGTTTGGGGCTGAAAGTCTTCGGTCAGCCAGCGTTCAGCCCCCCCCCCTTGAGCAATTGGGGATAAGGGCCTTGCTGAAGGGCCCAACAGCACCATCAGTCTTGGGATTTAAACCCATAGTCTTCTCATCACTGGCACCTAAATGGCTGAGCCACACACTGCCTCCAAGATTTGATCATAACAGTGCTACCCACTGAACTACCTTGCCACTCATGCTGCGTGCATTTAGAAAAGTGTATATGCTAGATATGTGTTTATGTATATGTGTATATGTATATGTTCTAGATACAGTATACATGAGTGTAATGCTCTGAGAAGCCAAAAGCAGAGTCTGGCTATATGAATGTATAGGCCACCTAGTGGAACTAGCAGAATACATTCTTTTGTTTTTATTTTCACTTTATTCTGTCAGCCACAACCAATAAACATCAGTCAATAATTTGGCTAAAGAATGCTCATGGAGACACTGAGCAAATGAGTAGCTAACTATGCCTGTAAAATCTATTAAGAGAGAATCAATGTTGTAAATATGGTACCATTGTACAATATTGGACATATTGTACTAGAATAAGTTTTCTCTTGGGAGGCTTGTAAAAATATTTCCACTGGGCAACAGACTACTGCACTTTAAATGTGTGTCATAGGTTTCAAACTATTTGGTATTCTCATAAAGATTTAAAATGTAGTCTGCCTGGATAAGATTTGGCACACAGTTTAGTTATGAATCCCTTTCCTTTATGTCATAGGTAAATTATCCAACCAGGAAGTTGTCCAGAAGCTGGTGGAAAGAGGTTAAAGAAAGCCAGATTTCAAATGTCAATAAATTCTGAACTTCAACAGATGGATGTATATGTAGACGGTTTCCTCTGGAGAACTTTTTTTTCTGGAGAAAACATCTCTAAAAAAGAATTGTTTCTTGAGTACTGCATTCTAGCAGTAGCTCATAAAATAGCAACTTTAACGTCATTAAATTTCTCATTAAAACTCACAATATTTTGTGTAGGGTATAGATCATAAATATGTGTTGACTGCTTAAATCAGTTGCCTGAAGAGCATCACTCTAATATGGACTGTCTACACTGGCTGAGAAAAACTATTTTTTATTTATTTTTCATGTTATTACCGGAATCCTTGCAGCCATGCCATGGAAAGGACGAGATGCCCAGAGAAATTTCATCATTTCTTGTAATTTGTTTTAGTCACAGGTTATAAAACAGAAACATTCATCAGATGACACTTAATATACCCAGTCCCTGTCACTGATGTCAGTCCCTAAAGCTTACTCAATGGTAATTATATACTAATGCCTAAGAAAGTTGTGTATGGTCTGTTAAACATAAATTAAATATTTGTAATAATAAAAAATAATTAAAAATAATAATAAAAATAAAAAATATTTGTAATAGCTGCAAAATATAACCAGAGAAATGACCAGCTGAAGTGTCGAATGGGTACTAGCCACACACATTTTCGTAAATCCCTGGGGGACTGTGAACCCCAAGACCCGCCCTTGCACTCTGGGGTCCTGAAAAGAGGACAAAAGCCGTCACCCTCCTGGCTCTCCGTGTAAAAGAGCTGCACAGATCCTCAGCAAACTGCCCCAGCAGGCAACTCACTCTGTGGAGGCATCTGGACTGTCTCCTTCTCTCTCTCCTTCTCTCTCTCCTTCTCTCTCTCATTCCCTCTCTCCTTCCCTCTCCTAAGAAGCTGGAAAAAGCAGCAGCAACCTTCTTTATTCTAAATATATGGTGAAAGTGTGAGAGCTTTATCCAGAAATACAGGATGGGTCTGTTCTGCAGAGTAGTGCTTGTCACCCAGGTGATGCTACAGCTGTATATAGCGACAGGAGTTCAAGGCCAAGGAAAAGGTGAGCATTTGTCTCTTGGTTTTCTTCTGATTCATATACTCCACCATTATGCTGTATCATGCTGAGTTTTAATTTTCTGTCATCTGCCTGATTTGAATACAGCTTCATGATGGTACACTTATCACAGAATTCCAAAGTATACATACTTTTAAAAAGAGAAGCCATATTTATTTACTTGTAACCTTACTAATGTGGCACAGTAAATTGCTCAATTTAAAAAATGTTTTTTTTTTCCATAGCTTTATAATTTTGACAATGCAGAATATTTAACTTCAACATCAGAAAGCTTGAATGAAAGAAAGTGTCCAGTTCTCTCAGCGTCACTGGATTGTAAAATTCTGTAGAAAATTATGTCACGCCTAGTATAACCAGGAGTGCAGTAACAGGAACCAAAAAGCACCAAACATATAACTCAGTGCCTGGAAAAAATATCCCCACTGCACTTCAACATTTACATTATTACTAAAGGATTTTGCATGACGCACTTCATATGTTACATTTATTGGATCCTAACAATGAGAAACCTTTTTATTTTAATAAGTAAAGAGACAATAATCTAATGCAAATAGACCGCACTGGTAAAGATGCTTTATTGAACATCCTTGCAACAAACGACATCATCGATATGTTTACACTAAAAAATATATAGAAGCACATCCATATATTGAAGCAATTTCCTGTGATAGCTTAACATTTGTGACAATGGATAGTTCTATAAATAAGTTAACCTTTTTCTTCATGGAGAAATAACTATGTTTGCACTAAATAGTATAAAGTTTTCCATCTTTACTTTCTCCTTAGACAGTAAAAAGAAATGAGAACAGATTCAAGTAATTCTGCAGACATTCAAGACAAGTGGTTAGAAATACTAGTCATAGAAAAACTGAAAAATTAGAAAAGGTTTTAAGAAGATTAAATAGACATATACCCACTCAGTCTGTTTATATTCTTATCAGCCCACATTTATATTGGGGTTTGTTCCCATAATGCCCTCCATGTGATTTTTCAGACAGGACTGACACATGTTGCCTTTTCAGTTCAGAAAGGTAAGACACAGTGTTCTGGTGCTGAAATCTTTCCAAGGCAGACTGCTTGTGAAACGCAGAAGGTTCACGGCTCCTCTCCACCAGAGAACAGAGCCTTGAAGGCTGGTGTTTGTTGACAGGAAATTCCCAAAGCATTGCTAACAACTGGGCCATGATGACATGGGCGTTCCCTGGCCGGTGTTGACCACAGGTCTGAATGAGCTCCTTTCCAGTGCATCCGTTTCTGCACTGTTTTTCTGATTTGATTATAATGGTCATTTATTGTATAGTGTTGAGACACAAGCTTTGGCCAGGCATTAGACAACTGAGCTATGTTCAAAAAAGCGACCCAGATTTCTACAATGTGGAAGTGACTTGACTACATGGTCATTTGATTTATAGAAAAACACCAGCCACTGAATCAATACACAAAAAACACAAGTGTACAGCTGTGAAGGAGGTCTTCATCCAGATCTTTCTCCTTTCAGTGTATGACCTCCTGACGTCTTCGGACTGTCTGCCAGATCTTCTGCAACGAGGGCTAGAGTCTCAGGCTGTGGACGAGGTTTTCATCCTCACGACATTCCGACTCCAGACTAAATCTGCCACCCCGATATTTGGCCTTTATAATCCCAGAGATAAAAGCAAATATTTTGAGTTCACCGTATTTGGGAAGCTCAACAGAGGTTAGTATATATTTTGTAACCTTGCATTGCACTTGAACTATGAGCTTATAATATTAATTTGATCATAATGGGTTGCATATAAAGGCTATTATGTAATTTGTAGTCTGGCCACAAAATTTGTCAAATCTTATTTCATTTCAACGTAAAATTACAAATGCATGAAACG